CATTTTGTTGTCATTACATCAAAACTAATTATCCAGAGGGGGTGATACATAGAAAAGAACGGCTTACAATCAGTTTATATACGAGCAAGCAGGGACTGATGTCAGAATGCATAAATATGCGCTACAAATACAAAAAACATTACACAATAACCTTAAATGTTGTGTACATTCAGCATTAAATAAACAAAATGACTATGAAATGCTTCTTTTCTCACATTTTCTATTGCAATTGATCAATAATTTTTCAATTTCACAAACAAACTTTGTATTCCAGTGAAATTTTAAATATTCAGTTTCAATAAATCTATGTAAACATAATCTGAAATATCTAATTATTGCAAATATGTAGTTTTCAAGCCATTGTTTACATAGTTACATGTTGTTTTGCATAACAAAAAATTAAAATTTTAAAGTACAATTGATAGAAATTCACCATTATCTCTGTTTACCATTTGGCACTTTTATTGTCTATCAAAAAAAAAATTCACATTCCATGTTGGTTTTTGAAATTTATCTCATTTTTGGTGTCTTTACATAGTTTGCAATCAATAATGACACGGAAGTATATTACTGGTACAACTAGGGTAGATTTAAATTATATTATGATTTGAATTTTATTTTTTTCCAGGCTTCTGAATATAGCTTGGGTTCTGTGTGGGGAAGGAGGTTGAATATGGTGTATGTGATTATGTCCATTTATATTACGAATGTACACATGTAAAGATATTCTGTAATGGAACACTTTCTGTAAAATCTGTATTAGAAACTGCTGCTTCTATTAAAATGGTACAATGCAACAGAGGAGATGCGGCTTCTATTAGATCATCTACACATATGAGAAATGATGATTGGATCTCAGTTATTCAAAAAGACTGGGGGCGACTTCTATTAGGGATGCAGCTTCTAATACAGATTTTACGGTACAAACATAAGGCAAATTCTGATTTGATTTATGAAAATGAACAAGTAAAAGCTATTCACATTACTTAGTATCTAATGTTGTCTACGGCAACTTTTAAGTCTCCTTCAAAATTTTGAATGATTTATTATCATATTTGTTCATTTGGTGATAATAAAAAAAATGTTCTCTATTTTCATTGAATGTTATTTTTGGTGAAAATTGTATTTGTTGTCCTGTTTGGTGTTCCTGTTCTCAGTGAACAGTTAAAATCACAGTGCAAGAAATTT